TGGGGGGCATGGGGAGGTTGGGGGGACATGGGGGTGTGGGAGGACCCATTCCATGTCTGGAGCACAGGGGCTTCCAGTTCTTGTAGGTTTTACAGGTGTTCTTTGGTGGTGTTAGACCTTTACTGGTTGATATCAGAACTTGATCTGTGGATTTTTTGTTTTTTCTTTCACTTCTGTGTTGAATTATCAGCTACTCCCCCACTTCAACTCTGTACTAGAACTAATTTACTGTCCTTTGCTTACTTCTAAAATGGGGAACTTCCTGTGAGGACCAGCGCTTGAGCCCTGTGGTTGAGCTAAATTGCTGCTTTGCTGCTGATTCCCTGGGGAAGGCTTTTTGTATAGCTCAGGTTTTAATTATTGACCTTTTAAGCACTTCTGGGTCTTGTGAGATTCAATATACCAGGGTTGTGTGGAAACTCTGGTCTAGGCCTGAGTCTTTTCAGCAAACTACACCCCCTGCAGTTCTACATTCCTGTCCAGTCCCCACTGAGAGGGCCTGTGCTGATTGGAGGATAAATCAGCTGTCCATGCTATAAACCAATGTTCCTCTGGTCAGCCCATCTCCCCCAACCCCACTCTCCAAACACTTCCCATGGGGTGCACCATGTGCTGGTCCCTTGTGATGACTCACTGGCCTCTGAGTGGCTCTTTCTTCAGTTGTCTGTAGCTCCTTGCTCCTATGCGGGTCCACAGGAACCCTGTTAGTGGTCTTGCTGGCCTGCAGATTCTCTTCTCCCCTACAGATTCCAAGAAACATCACACGAAGGGCACAGCTGTGGCTTTGCCAGTTCTTGCTCCATGTGCTCACCAGGGCCAGCCTTGAAGTGGCTTGGACTTGAAAAGGTCTAAACAATCCTTTCCTTCATTGGAGCTTCTCCCACCTTCTTGAACTCTGTACTTCTTTCCTCCTCTTCCCCTGAGCTCTAGCGGTACCAGCCTGGCAATCGTTGCTTCTTAATAGTTGTACATTGGTCAATTGTGGGAGAGGGTGATGCTGGGGATGGTCTGTTCTGCCATCTTGAACGGGAGTCTCCAAGCCATTTCATTTTGAGTCTACGGTCTATTTGTCACATCAGTTTGGTATACCCCAAATTATATTACACACCTACTATGAGGATATGTGGAGTCACTGTGACCTCACTGACACAACTTTATTTAACTTGATTATTCTAGGACTATGCAGATTTTCCTACAATTAGGAAAGGCATATTCTTCCTTGCAATATTTATGAAGATACTTCAAAAAATTCATGGAATGTTTCATATTATCTTTTAACTCCATTTTTCCACAAACTTTTTGAAGTGCCCTCGCACTCACAAGTAAAATAAAATCATTCAGACTGACTTTAAAAAACACAGAATCAAACATTTCACTATATTTACATGATCTCCTACTAAATATTTATAGTGATAAGTTCACTTGCTAAAAACAAATACCAATGGCAATGCAAAATAGCACAGCCACTTAGGAAAAAAGTGCCAGTTTTTCTTTTTCTCTTTTTTCTCTCTTTTTTTTTTTAGCCATTGGGGCATTTTATTTCTATGTACGTATATCCATAGAAAAAGAATCCCGGGATTTTCCCTCCTGTGTGTTTTTGTCTTGTTTCTTCATGATGCCCCATGTTTCATCATCACAGTTAGAAACAAGATGATAACTTTGGAACATGGCTTAATAAGAACCTGGCATTTGCTTTCTCTTTATTGTTGACACTCTTGAGAGCATCAGCCAGAACATTTATGAGCACTATTAGGGCCAAGCAAATAGAGGGCAGAAAGAGCAAATGTCTTGAGTCTACATCAAGACACACATCCCAGTGCCCATAAGCTGGGAAGGAGCAGTACCATGTACCAATAACCAATCTTAGTTCCACAACAGATCACACTGTTAACTGCACAGCTCTTGAGAAACTCTCTAACCACTGTTATGGGTTGAATTGTGTCCCCTTCCAAAACAATATGTTGGGAGTCCCCATTCATATGATGAAATCCTAACCCCCAGTACCTCAAAATGTGACCTTATTTGGAGACAGGGTCTTTACAGAGTTAAGTTAAAATGAGGTTGTGAAGGTGGGCCCTGATCCATTACAACTGGCATCTTTTAAAAAGAGGAAATTTTGGACATACAGACAGATATGCATGCAGGGAAAACACCATGCGAAGATGAAGGCAGAGATCAGGGTAATGCTTCTGTAAGCCAAGAAACGTCAAAGATTGCCAACAACCAAAGTCTAGGAGAGGCAAGGAACAGTCTCTCTCAGAGCCCTCAGAAGGAACCAACTCTGCTGACAACTCGATCTCAATTTCTAGCCTCCAGAACTGGAACAATAAATTTCTGTTGTTTATGACACATAGTTTGTGGTACTTTGTTTACAGCAGCCCTAGCAAACTGATACAACATATATTTTTTCTTCATTTACTTAAATATTCAATAGTATGTGGGCTACACATACTATATATGTACAGATCATTTTTAAACCTGTGGAAATTTTTCCCTGTGTGTGTGTGTGTATGTATGTGTGTGTGTGTGTGTGTGTGTGTGTATATATATATATATATATATATATATATGTGTATATATATATATATATATATATTTTTTTTTTTTTTTCCTGCTGGCCAGTACAAAAATCCAACTCCTGACCTTGGTGTTATCAGCAAAAACGCTCTACCCCACTGAGTTAACCAGCAGCCCCCTAATTTTTAAATTGTACTCCTATGTATCCTATTCCAAGAGGGGAGTCTATCTGACCAAATTGACTGTCCAACTGATTTCTTTGCAAGCATGTAACATACTGACTTTTTAAAAGAATGAGAATTGTCAACTAATGTATTGAGCTCTTACTATGTGCTAAGTGCCTTAGGTATGTTATTTAATCCTCGCAAAAAATTTAATTTGTCAAGGGTTAAGATCCCCTTACTGGTCATCTTTTAAAAAAAAATTTAATTTGTATTTTTGAGAAGATGATAACGTTATTCGAGCACAGCAAACAAAAAACAAAAAAACAAAAAACCATATTGACTTTTTATCTACAGATAATGACTGTGAAAGTAACATAGCTTGTTGTATCCATGAATGAATGAAAACTTCAATGAGAACTTAATGTTTATTTGGTGGTGGGGGATGGCTGGCCAGTACGGATCCGGGAACCCTTGACCTTGGCCTTGTCAGCACCACACTTTACTAACTAAGCTAACCGGCCAGCCTATTAAGTGCTTATTATGGCCACTGTTCCACTTATTACTGTTACTTCATTAAATCTATAAAGTCTTTGATTCTAAGATGCACCTTTATCTTATGTGTCACTGAGAAAGAAAAAATGCTTTACATTGACAAGACTGTTAGACATTTCAATTTCAGATATTAAAAACAGGGAAAACTGAATCTTGGAATGTATGAAATATGGTAACTCATTTAATCCTAACAAAACTTTATGAGATATGTACAATTTTATTTCCATTTTACAGATGAACCTCTACGGGTAGAGTACAAACTACACTAAAAAAGAATGAGTTAATTTCCCTTTAAAAGTCCATTGTATGCTCCAATTTACAGAAAACATTGAATCAAGCAACTGGAAGTGTTGGTCCCAAAATAAAATGGGATGCCTAGGCTGACTGATGATGGGAGCTAAGGTTGAGGAAAAAAACATTACACTCGGGTTAGACGAGCGTGGAAACCATCTGCGACTAAGGAAGGCAAAATCCTCACGGTTTAGACGGCTGAGGAACACGCCGTCCTCGATCTTAACCTCCCCTACGGAATCCGGTGTAAAATCCATGGGGGATGGGTGGGGCATAGTCAATAGAACCATCAAGCGCTGCAGGTCTAGACATGCTTCCCAAACACTCCTCAAAAAATGTGCCACTTACTACAGCAATGATTCTCCAGGTTTGGTCCCTGCAGTCTCGACCAGCAGAATCCACAGGGAAATTGTTAGAAATGCAAATTATTGACCCTACTCTACCTAAATACGAAATCCGCGGCGGGGCCTGGCGATCTGAATTTTGGCTACCCCTGCAGGGGATTCTGACACACGCTAAAGTCTGAGAACTGCTGAGTGACAGAAAAGAATTTCTGGCAGACAGGGAAGAGATTACAGAAGCGAACGGGAAGGAACAGCATCCCTTTCTTCTAGAGGCTGCTTTGGCCGGCCGCCCCGACGGGGATTCTGCGCTTTCCTCCCCGCGCGACCAAGCAGGGGCGCCGAATCCACAACCCAGTAAGGAGCCTAAAGGGGAACCCCCGAAATCCAGTCGGAGTCTCCACGCGGAGGCAGCGCTTCCGCCCGCGGGCCCCCACCGCTTCTCCTCCGCTCTAGCCACTCGGCCCGGACTCCTGGCCCCGACCCAGGCCCACCTCCCCTCTCCGCCCTCCTCGTCCTGCCTTCCACCCCCTACCCCATCCCGTCCCACACGCCTCAGCCTCGCAGCGGTCAGCTACGGAGAGGCAGAGGACGCGGGCGCGCGTGCCAGCGGCGGGGCACACGGCCCGGAGGAAACCCGCAGCCCGCCCGCCCTCACTCCGCGAGTGACGTCGCTGCGGGAGTCGGTGCTCGCAGAGTCCCGCCCCGGAGGTGTCCCCGGCTTCTGGGGCGGGCCCCCACTGCGCCCGCACTGCGCTCCCACCTGCGGGCATCTGTTCAAATAAGCTCTGCTTCTGCGTGTGGGGATGTTTTTTCTTCTCACGTGGCCGCAGTCCTGAGCTGTTTCACACTATCGCCATCCAGAGTTTGCTATGAATAGATGAATTTTACTCAGGCCCCAACGGGGAAGACTAACTTCTTTTTTTTTTATTAAGACCCTGCCTTTTGAACACACCGCCCGACGCTTGTACCGTTGGATGGTTTTAGTGAGACGCTCGATGGTTTTAGTGAGAAGACGGACAAACTTGACTACCTAGAGGAAGTAAAAGTCATAACAAGGTTTCTTTCCCTAGGTGGATACCGAAGGATCACTGAGAGCGTGGGCGCCCAGCGACCGGGGCCGGTCACCGAGTCCTCACCGGCCCGGCGCGGGGGTGGGGGAGGGGGCGGTGCCGTGCGAGCCCCACCGGCCGGGAGAGCCGGAGACTCGGGAAGGACGGACGTTGAGGGAGCCAGCCGGCTGCGGCCTACCCACTGATGGGCCGCTGCAGCCAGCGGGCTTCCGCGAGGGGGCGGCTCAGGGCGTCACTGGGGCCGCGCCCCCTGCTGGTCCGCTCTCCGGCGTCTCTCCCGTCTAGGCCGCCGCCACCGGCGCCACAGCTGCCGTTGGTCTCCTCCGCCTCCTCCGCCGGTAGGGCAGTTTGAGAGTTCGGGGCTGCGCCCCAAAGAGGAAGACTAATTTCTAAGTTTCTCCATTCTTCTCTCTTCAATTGTCCTGTCCATTAAGTGGTTTAATATTCCTCTGTTGAATGGACAGTGGGAAGAAAACGAAAGTTTCTGTTTCCTCTTCACCGCCCTCAGAGCCCTAAAGACACAGGTGACTCCACCCTATCCGTGAAGAGGGGATCACTCTCAGGTGCTGGGCCCAGGGCCTCTGTGTGGCAGAGATCACACTGACCTGGCTTTGGTACAGAGGAAGAAATCCGCGACTTGAAAATGGTGGAAGTTAGGGCCGGCCCGTGGCTCACTCGGGAGAGTGCGATGCTCATTACACCAAGGCCACGGGTTTGGATCCTATATAGGGATGGCCGGTTACTCACTACGGAGAGCATAGTGCTGACAACACCAAGTCAAAGGTTGAGATCCCCTTACCGGTCATCTTTTAAGGGGAAACAAAAAAAAAAAATGAAATTGGTGGAAGTAGGGTCCCAGAGGACCTTCCAGAAGTGGACAGCCTTCTGGAGCAGAGATTCATGTGCCTCGGGCAGAGCAAGTCTCTTTAAAGACGGAGCTCTGGGGGTAGGATCCGCCTCAGACCAGGGAATACAAGAATGTATTAATATGCCTTAAGCAGAATCAGGGCTGAATTTGGGGGGAGGCAAGGGAAGGTCAGAGTAAATTATTATTCTTTGCTGTTTTCAGAGCCTCCTTCTCATTCCATCACATCTACTGTGGGAATCAGTCCTGTTCTGATACTATGTGGTTCTTTCTGTAATTGTTAAAGCTGTATTCCAGGGGAAGAAAATCTCACATAAGGACTGGTGTGAAGATTCTTCCTCTCCTCTGCTTCACCAGTGGACCCTCCATACCCTCCCCCACCCACCCCACCCCTCATTCATCCAGTGGATAAATTGCTCCAGTTTTTGCCCTTAATAGTACCCTTGAAATGATGAAGTAGAGAGCCTGGTCCACAAGTGGTCAAGGTGTCAGCCTTTTAGGCCAAGGAGCTGCTTAGTGGTTGAGCAGCCATCTGCATGGAGCCTGACCTGGGGATGCTGCACTGTGAGAAAGGAAAGGTCAGTAGAGGAAGTTTCCAAGCGTCTGTGCCAGAGTCCTTTCCGCAAGTCTTTCCATAAACTCTGGAGAGTCTAACAAGTGGCTGGAGAAGTGAAGGAATACTTGTCACTGTTTGGAACACTGAATCCTTACATAGAAAAGCTAAAACCACAGGTGGTGATATTTTAAAACAGAAATTGGAACCAACGAAGGAAACCAATGATGACATACTGGAGGATCCCTCTGGGGAAAAGTAACAAATTGAATGCTGTGTTGCTATAGTCCTTTCAACATTTATCTATTCTACTAAAGGGGTTAGAGGGAGAAGATCATGCCTTGGTAATCAGATGATATTTTAAAAATGACCGAAAGGTGTGTTATACTTAAATAAATTTTAAAAAGTATTTTTATTATTTGGCAGCTAGCCAGTATGGAAATTAAAAATTACTTAAGTGATCAATGTTGTAAGTAGGAACCAGAAACCATCCGATAAAGATGTTGAAGGTTTTCTGCAGTTTTCCAGCAAGTGCGTTACTTTCGGGAGTTATTCTCTCAATAACTGCCTTATTTCCTCCTTTCATGATAAAATTGCTACCATGGGAAGACTGGAGGGGAACCAAGAAAGGCAGAGAAGCAGACAAGTGCTGAACAGGCTAGGAACTGTCATGCTTGGGTATATGCATTTCCCACCAGGCCAGTAATACTGCATGAGCTGGCTTGATTCTTGGAAAAGAATGATAGTCCTGCTGGTGGGAAGATATATTGAATTTCTCTAGGGTGCCCCAGCAATGAGCCACTTTTGCTTTGGTATCTCTTAGATGGGAAAATGCAGCTCCCTGGCAAACTTGCTCCTATGCCATCGATAAAACTTCAAGGATTACATAATCCCGTGTATCATCAACTGAATGACTGTGGTACCATGTTGTCATTATGAGCACAAGACATTTTCTGGAAACAAATGGTAACAAAAAGTGTACTTCTCATATTGTGGTTACCCAGGTGGGTTTAGACAAGTAACAGCTGTTGAACTTCACCAGAAGGATCCAGTGGCACTTGTAGAACTAGCTGTTTATGGCATGCTGACAAAAATCCCTCACAGAAGAATGCTGATGCAAAGGTTGCATCTTTTTCCAGATGAGGATATTCCAGAAGATATTCTTAAGAATTTAGTGGAAGAATAACCACCAAAAAAAAAAAAAAAAAAAAAAAAAAGAAGAAGAATTTAGTGAAAGAGCTTCATCAACCACAAAAAGTTCCTAAACATTTTAAATGAATACACACAAGAATAAAGGCTTTCCCAAGAGTGTGGTCTCCACCTGAAGACTATCAGCTGTAAGAAAAATTACAGAAAATAACAATAATGTGATTGAAACTTCTTTGTGATGAGTTTCTCTAACCGACAGGACAGACTAAAACAACTGCTTCCACTCAGCACCTGTTACAGGTACTGAATGTTTGTAAGGAAAGGTCAGGAAGGGATATTCCTTCAATGGGAAACTGCAATAAAATATACTATTTTATAGAATTGTTTTATTATGTAATCTGATTTGAATGTTATAAATGATTATAAGGATAAAATTGCTCACTTAGTTAACTGGGGGGGAAAAAGATGTGGGAACATTTTACTGAGAAATAGGGAGTTAGGAGGAATCTGGCCAACATGAATATCTGTCTGATAGAGAAAAACCTTATTTAGCTGCTCATGATAAACATATATACATCTTTCTAATCAATGCAAGTAACAAGAAAATTCTGCATATTCTTTGCACAGAAGATGCTAGCATGAATAAGGCAGAGAAACTAAGCTATATGGTAGACATTTAGGAAAATTAAGTTTCCAATCTTCAGCTTTTTTTTTGGCAGCTGGTGGGTAAGAGGTTCCAAATACTTGCCCTTTGTGTTATAACACCTTTGCTCTAACTAACTGAGCTAAACAGCCAGCCCCAATCTTCAACTTTTCAATGGAAGATACTCATGTGGAACCCATAATTAAAAGGTTTTTATCTTGCTGACTTTTTTTGTTTGATGAAATCTTAAACAAAGTTCTTCATATTAATGAGGCATCCCACATTTGTTATATTAATAGGGTTTTTCCTCAGGGTACACTTTTCTGAATATTCATAAGAAATGAGGGTGACCAGGGCCAGCCTGTGGCTCACTTGGGAGAGTGCAGTGCTGATAACACCAAGGCCACAGGTTCAGATCCCATATAGGGATGGCCTGTTAGCTCACTGGATGAGCATGGTGCTAACAATACCAAGTCAAGGGTTAAGATCTCCTTACCAAGTCAAGGGTTAAGATCTCCTTACCGGTCATCTTTAAAAAAAAAAAGAAAAGAAAGAAAGAAAGAAATGAGGATGACCAAATGGTTGTCCTACACTTGCTGTTATCAGGAGATTTTTACTTCTCTGGTGTAGGATTCTCTGATTTATAAGCAGATTTGAGATCATTATAAAGGCTTTCCCACATTTGTCATTTATATAAAGATTTTTTTTCTAGTGTGGTCTTACTGATGCTACGATTTGATTGAGTAATTTCTCATCTGCTTCTCTCCAGTATGGGTTTTCTGAAGTTGAACATGGTATAATCTTGAACTATCATATTTTTGGGGTCTGGCTCCTGTGTGAATTCTCTGATGTAATATAAAACCAGACCTAAACTGAATACTTTCCCAAATTTATCACATTTATAGGAGCTATCATTAGTATGATTACTCTAAGGTATAAAGCAGCACTTCATGATAAATGGGTAACATTCCCATCATATTTAAAAAACTGCACTGTTCAGGATGGTAGCCACGAGCCACATGTGACTATTTAAATTTAGAGTAACTAAAATGAAAGAAAATTGAAAATTCAGTTCCTCTTTACTTCAAGTGCTCAGTAGCCTCATACAGTTTGTGACTAGAACACTGGAGAGCACAAATTATAGAACATTCCAATCACAGAAAATTCTATTGAACAGCACCATGTAGAGTTTTTCAGTGCGTTTTTTTTTTTTTTTTTTTGACCGGTAAGGGGATCTTAACCCTTGACTTGGTGTTGTCAGCACCACGCTCAGCCAGTGAGCGAACCGGCCATCTGTATATGGGATCCGAACCCGGGGCCTTGGTGTTATCAGCACCGCACTCTCCCGAGTGAGCCACGGGCCGGCCCGCGAGTTTTGATTAATATAACTGAGTTCTGAATGAAGTTTTCCACACTCTTCACATTTATACAGTCTATTCCATGTATGATTTACTCTGCTGTCCTGATGAACTTGGATATTCACTGACAAT